AGCAGGAAGAGAAAAATTCCAGAAAGGAGAGTATTTCACTGGAGTGTTGCTGTGATTGACTTTTGTCATTTCATCACAGGCCAGAAATAAAATAACTGGTTTCCAGTCTCCTTCCCACTGCTGTTCTGCACCTTTACTCCCTCCCATCACAAAGGAAATTTTTTTTTTTGTTGTTTTGTTTTAAGGGGGAAATTCTAAGACCCTTAAAAACCAGTCTGTGCTCCTCTTAATTTTTTTTTTTTGTTTATATCAAATAATTTCACCAAAGTTCCCCTTCCTGATAAAGTTGCTGTATTTATATGTAAGCTTTTTAAGGCAATTTGTTTGCAGAAGAGATTATAAAAGTTTTTTTGTCCAAGACAATGTGGTATTGTTTCTCTTCTATCCTCTGCAAGGCTTAACAAGTTTGGGGAATTCACGTTTTCTGTAAAGAAAATGATAACGCACTTGTGGTTTCCTCAGCCACTTCAGCCCAAAATCTCTTCATAATTTGGCTACCTCCATGAACCAGTTTTGACCTTCATTGTTTTTAAAGGTTTTATTAGTATTTGATGCACAGCTGTACATACTTTCTAATTGGCAGCCTACAGTGACTTATTCTGGATATTTGTTTTTCTTTGCAGATACAAAGAGTAGGGTCTTCATTTCCAGTAACATACTGGAACAAGTTTAGCCATGTGTGGGTAAACATATAAATGTGCTTATCAAGTCACTTTTTATTTAACCTTAGGAGTTGGATCATTCTTTTTAAAAGAGAGGGGGGGAAAAAAAGTCTTGGCACTTAATTCCTTTTTCTGGGGTGGCGTGTGATTTTTGTGGGGTTTTTGTTTGGGGGGGCAGGTGGGTTTGTTTACTTATGGAAGATTATGGATTGAAAGTACAGATGAAAATTCAGAGCTGAGGCAAATTTCTGAAGTTAACTTCTGAAAGGCCTCGTGAAGATAGAAATTTGTATCTCTTGTGCCTTTCCCTAATTTGTCTGAGTGAAGTGTTTGAAAACAAGCGGCTGAGAGCATGTGTTTGCATTCTTCAAAGTAAAGCTTTCTTTAGACTTCCTTGTACTTTTTTCAAGTCTTCGGTTGACATACGCTGAAATTCTTGCTGTAAGTAACATTGAACAATGTTGGACACTTAGGCAGTTCATAACATAGCTAAATAACAATTTGGGCAAATACCGTTAATTTACTGCACACCTGAAGTACCATTTGAACTGAAATTCCTAGAAACAGGCACTTGGAAGTGTTACTTTAGTCATTCTGAATACTTCTGCAGAAATCCATTTATTCAGGTAAACAATTGCAAGAAAGTTTACAGTTACTGAACTCCAGCAGATTAGATGTTTTCACAGAACTTTTGGGGTTTGTTTTATCTATTTACTTATTTTTTTCACAGAACTTTTGGGGTTTGTTTTATTCCCCCCCCCTAGTCAATTTGGTAACCCTCAGCGTTGCTGCTTCTGTGGGATCAGGTGTATAGTGTTGCCTGGGTAAAGATAAAATATTTATGGAGCGTGATCCTGAGTTTCGAGTTGTGTTAGCATTCACAGAGCAAATACCTAAACTTGTTTTCTGAATTGTAACTAATTTTGGATTTTAATTCATTTCTGCAGTTCTGCTTATTCCAGTGTTACGCTCTGTTCTAACGGGGGGGTTGTGATTGTTGTCCATCCTTCCATCTTCTCACTTTCTGCACAGGCTTGTAAAAGAGGGAATTCTGATATAGTGCGGCTTATGATTGAAAGCGGAGCGGACTGTAACATTTTGTCAAAGCATCAGAACAGCGCGCTGCATTTTGCTAAACAATGTAATAATGTACTGGTGTACGAGCAGCTCAAGAGTCATTTGGAAACGTGAGTAAACTGTACTTTGAAGTTTGTTCTGGTAAAGTTTGCAACACTGGGCATGTCACAATTTTGGTTTAAGTCAAGGGGAAGAGGGGGAAATTTCACAAAAGAAAACAGATCTGGTTTGGGCAGAAAGGTAACAAATCATGTGAAATGAAAATGATGTGGGCTAACAGAATTAGCAGACACTTGCTTAAACACTGAGTAAAAAGATGGAAAGATGGAAAAGGGAATTACTAGAAGTGGAAGATTCCTTAAACTAGAAATACAGCAGTCGGGAAAACTAAGAAGTGTATAAGCACTGGACAGTTGAATGTAAACTTGTTAGGGCATGCCAAATAAAATACGTTGCTACGAAGCATTAAAAAAATAGAAACAAACAAAAGAACACCAAACAAAAACACCATGAAAACTCAGTGCAGGTAATTAGGGTGTTGTTGGACCCTTAAACGTCAGCTGCGAGCTGAGAGTGCCCAGGGGTAAAGCTTTCGTGCCAGTAAATGATGGAAATAAAAATCTTCATCATGCAACAGAATGACTGAAGAGCAATGCAGTGTATGTGGTATGTGAAGTGTTCATGTCATATGGTCGTGTAAAATATACTGAGCTGATGAATATGGATACTAAATGGAGACAAAATAAAGAGAAGGAGCAAGCTCTTTAAATATTACTTTGGAAGAATACTGATAGTTAATGTATCAGGGCAGAAAATCATAACCAACAACCTCTAAACTTGGAGAAAAGACTCAAGGAAGGTCTCAGAGCTTCTGCAGCAGGTGAGATTTTGCCATGAATGCATAGTTAGTGCTGGAAGAACACTGTCTCAGTGCAAGATCCTTTTATTGGTTTATGATGACTTTATCCTAATGATTTATCTATATAATACAAGACAATGTATCAAGTAGTTTGTAGTCAAAGCTCATTCTCTTCTATTTTAGTGTTTAGAAAGCCCTGGCTGTTTTCTGTTTCTGATCTCTTGTGTTTCCCATCAGCTAACATCCTAAGTCTGTCTTGACAGAAACTGCCTTGTAACGGTCACTGATATGTGCTGTAGTATTACCAATATTCTTATTCTGTTTTAAAGAGTTATTCGTGCACTTTCCTGTAGAACATTATTAAACACTAAATTTAAGCATACTAAGTCTAAAAAGTAAGATCTGTAAGCAAACGCTCCCATATGATCATTGCAGCGGTGGTCACAATGGAGGTTAGCGAGCCCTTCTGTAAGGCAGAGAAATTTGTGAACATTTGCAAAGTGAAATGTCAGGTAAAAAATGTTTTAGTGCAAACCAGTAAAATACAAATAAATACATTCCCAGGGCAAGGTTGTATTTGCCTATGTATTTGCCTGAGTTCTAAAGGAACTCAAGTTATGAAATTACAGAATCACAGCAACACAGAGTAGTTGAAGTTGGAGGGACCTCTGGAGGTCATCTTCTCCAGCCCCCCTGCTGAAGCAGGGCCAAATAGAGCTGGTTGCCCAGGACGCTGTCCAGACAGTTTTTGAATATCTCCAGGGATGGAGACCTCCTAACCTCTCTGGGCAACCTGTGCCAGTGCTCTGTCACCCTCACAATAAAAATGTGTTTCCTGATGTTCAGAGGGAACCTCCTGTGTTTCAGTTTGTGCCCATAGTCCCTTGTCCAGGCACTGGGCACCACTGAAAAGAGCCTGGCTCTGTCCTCTTTGCACCCTCACTTCAGGTGTTTATTGATACATACACATTGGTAATACGTATACATTACCTGAGCCTTCTCTTCTCCAGGCTGAACAGTCCCAGCTCTCTCAGCCTTTTCTCATAGGAGAGATGCTCCAGTCCCTTCATCATTTTCATGGCCCTTCATTGGCAACACAGAGTAGTTGAAGTTGGAGGGACCTCCGGAGGTCATCTTCTCCAGCCCCCCTGCTGAAGCAGGGCCAAATAGAGCTGGTTGCCCAGGACGCTGTCCAGACAGTTTTTGAATATCTCCAGGGATGGAGACCTCCTAACCTCTCTGGGCAACCTGTGCCAGTGCTCTGTCACCCTCACAATAAAAATGTGTTTCCTGATGTTCAGAGGGAACCTCCTGTGTTTCAGTTTGTGCCCATAGTCCCTTGTCCAGGCACTGGGCACCACTGAAAAGAGCCTGGCTCTGTCCTCTTTGCACCCTCACTTCAGGTGTTTATTGATACATACACATTGGTAATACGTATACATTACCTGAGCCTTCTCTTCTCCAGGCTGAACAGTCCCAGCTCTCTCAGCCTTTTCTTATAGGAGAGATGCTCCAGTCCCTTCATCATTTTCATGGCCCTTCATTGGACTCTCTCCAGTATGTCCGTGTCTCTCTAGTAGTGGAACTGGACGTAGTACTCCAGGTCCCCTCCCTTGCATACTTTGCCTAATGCAGCTCAGGATAGATACCATTGGCCGCCTTTGCAGCAAGGGCACATTGGTGGCTCGTGTTCAGCCTGGTGTCCACCAGGTCCTTTTCTGCCAAGCTGCTTTCCAGCTGGGTGACTCCCAGCATGTCCTTGTGCCTGCGGTTGTTCCTCCCCAGGTGCAGGACTTTGCACTTCTCTTCGTTGAACTTCATGAGGTTCCTGTTGGCCCATTTCTCCAGCCTGTCCAGGTCCCTCTGGATAGCAGCACGACCCTCTGGTGTATCAGTCACTCTCCCAGTTTTGTCTTATCTGCAAACTTGCAGAGGGTACCCATCATCCAGACTATTAATGAAGATGTTAAACAGGACTGGATCCAGTATAGACCCCGGGGGTACACCGCTAGTGACTGGCTTCCAACTAGACTTTGTGCTACTGATTTTTGCTGAATTAATGTGTTCTGATCCAGTTTCATACTGGGAGGAAAGTATTGTGATGCCAGTATTTTTAATGCACTGTAAAGCTTGTCTGAGGTTTTGTAGATCACTTGTTAAAGTGAGCAGGGCAGTTGAAGTGGATAAATGGAGTATACTGATCCTTCCCCAAGGAAGGAAATCATGACTTGTGAGTTAAGGTTTTGAGGGCAACAGCAAGCATGCAGATAAGTAATCTGGTACCTGCTGTTCAGTGTATTGAAACTTTGTCACTCATTCACTGTTCAATGCCTTTTCCAGTTTGTTTCCTATGTAAAATCTGCCACCTTCAGTTTTGGCTAATCTGAATAATGAGTCTTGGAAGATCTTGAACATGTAATTTTGCCAGTGAAATGGCAGTTGAAATTTGATACTGATAAATGCAAACTGATGTCCAGGGGGTATCACTGTAGTAATGTGAATTATACAGGGAGTAACACAGCTCTTGCCAATTGAAGAAGCTTCTAGGCTCATTACCTGAAAATATCAGTTCAGTGCTTCTTGTCAGTCAAAAACGAAGATAATATAGTAGTGAAGCTGAAAATAAAATGTAAATCCATGGTGTCCAAATGCCTTAAATAGCATGTGCCATTCCAGTTACATTGTTTCAAAAACAGATGAAGCAAAAAGGAAAAGTGAAGATGATCAGGAGTAGCTTCTGTGAGGGTAGACTGAGGGATGTGATACATGTCACCTTGGGACAAATTAAAAGGTCAAAATTTAAAACAGAAAACAACAACAACAAAAAAAAACCTAAAGCCATGAGGCAGGTTCTACAGGCCATCCTGTTAAATGATTTAGTGATAGGTTCAAAATAGATGAATATTTTTGCACAGAAAAACTGAATTACCGATCTCATTGTTGCAGAATGCTGTGGTCACAAATACATGGGATTTTAGAAGGGATTAAGTAGATCTAAGGCAAGGTGCGATTTGGCTGCAGTCTCTAGTTTTGGATGCCTCTAAATCAGGAAACTAGGACAGTGTACCAAAAAAGACAACTATTTAATTTCCCATATTTAATATGGCTTTGTCTAGCATCTGGAAACTAGGCTAGATGGGCTTCCGGGCTTGCTTTGGTATGGCAATTCTTGTGGTTTCTTTCCGATCAAACACTTAAGTTTTAGATTCTGCAGATGGTAATCTCGGCTAGCGTGGAGGGGAAGTGTGCTCTGAATAATAGCTCAAAAAGCTATAAAGCTGAGAGAGTCAGGACCTTTGCCTTGCAAAAGCGTTTAAAACCCATTTGTGTCAAAACAGCTTTCTAAAGAGGATTACTTAGTAACCTGCTTGTAGAAATGCCAAATACTGTTGGTTAATGTGGTCTCTCTTTTGAAGGCTAGGCTGCTCGCTTCAATTAACACCCCCCCAACCCAAAAACCAAACAAAAAACCCCAATTTGGCTATTTAATGGTAGTGTTGCTACTTTTTCACTGCATTTTAGAGTTAATTGGGAACTGCATTTTTCCAGTAGTATTGCCAGTAAAATTATACAGTGACTTACTTATTTTTACGTTGTACTTGCTGTCAGGCTGATAAATCAGCCATGCTGGGGAAGTGGTTGTCTGTTTCTGTATTCTGTTATTAAAACATACTGATATTTCGGGGACATCTCTCTACATAAAGACCCTTAAAAATATGTGGCTAGTTGGAATTTTTTAATCTGCTGCAGCGGATTTGTCTCAGCTTTTTATTTTTGTGGACCTGATAGATGAATTTCACAAACATCACTTATAAAATGTTTTATTAACAAAGTATTGGGACTTGGGGTTCATCTATACATAAATGCTAGTGATGAAGGCATTCACTCCTGAAAATCGGGAATCTAGAAAGGTAATCTGGAATCCTTTTTTACGTCAGCTCTCATTTAAATCTGTCTGATAAAGTAATTTTACTATGTGAAGTACAGGCCTTGCTTGTTTGGTCTTCTAGGCTCTCAAGAGTAGCAGAAGATACCATCAGGGATTATTTTGAAGCTCGTCTTGCTTTGCTGGAGCCAGTCTTTCCAATTGCGTGTCATCGTCTCTGTGAAGGGCCAGACTTTTCTACGGATTTTAACTATAAACCCCCACAAAATGTGCCAGAAGGTAGGGGGGTTGTTGTTGTGGCGGGTTTTTTGTTTGGTTTGTTAAAAAAAAAAAAAAAAGTAGAATAGTGCGTTAAGAAACTGCCTTGTAAGTATGTCTTAGAGGATCTGCGATGCAAAATTATTTTTGTATGACATTATATTGCAGTACATTACATTAAGGATGCTCTGATTATGGAGTATGGGGAGAGGAGCAGTGTTTTGATGCATTGTGGGTGGAGTTTGTGTATCTTTTTATTTTTTAAGAGTTTTTCTTAATGCCACATACACAGTTTCTTTCTTCTGTTCATGGGTTATGTTAGCTTTGTGAGGGTTACATTAGCTAAGTGACAGGTATTATAGGAAAGGAATGGTTTACCTTAGAATTAATAATTTTGAAAAATCTTAATCTAGGAGCATACTTAGAAAATCTCGTAGTGGATCATCTTGTTTTGTAGACAGGACCTAACGCACCGGAGTTTTGGAGTATAGTCACAGCACTACCATGATACAAATGCAGTCTAGAAATACTATTAAAAAGAAGCCAGCATCAATCAACTCTGTTTTGCCCACAGACCCTTTGAAAAAGCTGGGAATCAAATTCCCAATATACTTGGGAATGTTTCTTCATTCTTTCAGGAATCCAGATGCTAATCTGTGATGCTTGGCTTAGCTGAGTCATTTTTATTCACCTTTTGAGTATATGAGGGGAGTATCTACTGTTACTGATTTTTCTCGAAATAATACATTAATGTGACTGAAATACTACTTAAACTAAGATTGAAAGTGGTTGTGTCTGTCCGGTTTTTTGGTTGTTAAGAGTTGTAGTGTAAGTCTTCCAGTTCTTGATTATAATTAAGAAACCTTATGTAAGTTTATGTTTAAAATGAGGCATTTGTGGGTATTGAAGATTGTTGCTTATTGAATTTCAGTGCAGTTCATAAAGATCTATAATTGGCTGGGCTCGGTTGTCCTTACCAAGAGAATAGACAACCCAAACCACGTTAAATTCATAACTCTCTTTAGGTAAACCTAAAACCACAGAGGTGAACCGTACCAAGGATTGCTGTATCCATTTTGCTTTCCTTTCTAATAGCCACATTATTTCTGCTGCCAAAAGACCTTAACTTAGTGACCAAGTCAGTTGTGATTTGTGCTGGGATCCACTGGCTTGGGAGATTGGATTTCTGCATGTTGCTTTGATGCTCCATTGGTGTTTAATATATACTATATAATATTTTTATATATATTTGTACCTGTCTTCAAACGTTCAGTGTATGCAGTTGTTCTAAATAATGGATCTCACTTCAAATTCATGTGACTGAATTGCCTTCCCTTTCAGGATCTGGAATTCTTCTCTTTGTTTTCCATGCAAATTTCTTTGGTAAAGAAGTCATTGCTCGGCTCTGTGGACCATGCAGTGTACAAGCTGTGGTTTTAAACGACAAATTCCAGCTCCCTGTATTTTTGGTAAATCTTTTCATATAATTGATTGACTGTGAAACTGCTTTATAAAGTCTTTATGGAGCAGCCTGGGAAATCTTAGTGTCTTAATTTGGATTTTGAGTATTGTGATGAAGCATTTTTTTATCTTGATAGGTTTTTTTTTTTAAATGAATCTTAATTCTTCTTTGTATATGGAGAGAACTGCAAACCTTGCATATACTAGGCTTCATAAAAATTTATGCCTTAAAAGGCAGGGACATAGTGCAGGACAACCTGCTTCTAGGTGGCCCTGCTTGAGCACCAGATGGTGCCTGGTTGGACCAGATGACCTCCAGAGGTCCCTTCCAACCTGCTGTGATTCTGTGACTTAAGAACTGAGGGTTTGAGCAGGCAGGTGAGAATTCTGAATGTAAAGCTGTTTCACTTCTCAAATTCACCTAGCCTCTCAAATTTTTGACCTAAGTTCTTAAAGGTAACTACTATGCCTTGTTTTAACAACCTACCTCATACTTCTAATGATTAATTTCTATTTTTGATTTTTTTTAAGTCCTCTTGTTTTCTCTGTGGTTGCACCAAAGGTTCTTTGCAGTATACAAAACTTTCTTTCAAAAAATGCATAGTTAAAATGTCGTGTTATATTAGTCCACTTGCATAGCACTTTCAGCCATATCCTGCCATTAACTTTGTCCATTTTCTTTTTCCTTTTAGGATAGTCACTTTATTTATTCCTTCAGCCCTACTGCAGGCCTTAACAAGCTTTTTATACGGTTGGCAGAAGCTCCTACTGCCAAGGTACAAAATGCTCTCAAAATCAAATGTGTATGTTAATTTGTTGTACAATAATTCTTCCATAGTCTAAATGCTTCTAGTTGTATGTTGCAAATGTAAAACTAAGGACTTTCCACCATCTCCTCATCCCAGTTCCCATCAGTTACAGTTCCATACTGTGACATTGCCAGAACTCAGGAACATTGCCAAGGGTGTTAGTTCTGTCATAATTAAATGTTTTTATGCTGCAGTCAGAATAATTCATGCACCAGGATAAAGTAGTTACAGCTAAACATTTTTGCCGTCCATATGGTGAATTTAATGACTAACAGATACATGGAGTGTCAGTTATTTTTTGCATACAGATGTTTTTGCTTGTGTGTTTAGGAGAACTTGGAAGTATTTACTAGGATATGCTGTCTGCTTTTAAATAGTCTGTGTACTCCGTTGTATTTTCCAGGTGGTTTCGGCCATAGTCCCACTACATGTTGCAAGATGAGTAACAGATCCTGTTCTGGTAGCGTTTATTTTCTCCTTGGAAGACGCACCAGTAAATTTTCTAGATCTTGAGATCTAAAACTTACACTCTTAAATGTTTTATTGTACACTTTTTTTAAAAAAAAAAGAAAAAGAAAAATGGAACTCATATTCAGATGGCAGTATATATGTATGTCTAGTGCACAGATTGGGGGCTAACTTGTTAAACACCACCTAATGCAATAGTATTCTACTTCAGTCCTTTTACAAGCCATTCATCTTCCAGTAGGGCTACTATAAACTGATTTTATTAAGCACAGATTGTAAATTCCTTTTTTTTTCTTTTTTTCTTTCTCAGCCTCTAGCAATTGTATGCCTTTTCTCATGCTGTTCTTACACATTTGAAGAAGTGTTTAACAAACACAGTAGTTACATGTGAACAATCTTTATATGAAACCTTTGTTTACTTTTACAGGTAAAGCTGCTAATAGGCGCATACCGAGTGCAGTTGCAGTGACCTCACAGCTGAGAGCATGTTGAGTGGACTGACACCTTTTTGGATATGCTTCTGATTTCCTCTGTTTAGAGACTGACAAAGCAGTTTGGAACTTTTTGGCACCACACTCTTTAAGACTAAGTTCCCATCTCACTGTCACATGGCAGTCACATAGGAAAGTGTGTGTTGGAGAGCAGTTGAATACGCTGCACTCGTGGGACGGGGTTGTCAGCTTTTTTTACTTTGTACAGATGTAGATGTAAGTATTTGTGCCAATACATAATTCTGTTTTTCTTCAACTTGTGGAGTCCAGACTGCGTATTTCAGCTTTTCCACAATGTGGAATGGTGCATATAAGAACTATTTAAGGTAACTACATGAAATGTGTTTTTTAATAGAAAGATCTTTCCATTTGTAAACTAAAATTTTTTACTTACCCTAACTGTAACATTTCTATGTAAAATGCAGAACTCGCATATTCTTGGAGCCGTGGGCAGAAATCATACTTTGAAGTCACTGCATTAGATTTAACTTTGAATTGCTGAGGGCTGTGTTCTGGTTTGAAACTTTTCCTGCTACTGTCTCCTGATGAGAAAACAGTTATGCTTAGAGCGATTCCCTTTGAACAAACACAGTTAGGTCTGCAGGTATGAACAAAGACATCTGAGTAGGTGCAATTCATAGAGGATTGCAATTGGATCCTAGTTACATCAGTGTTTTAAAACTACTTTGTTTTAGAGAAGCAACTGATAGTTTTACAGACATCTTAGCTTCTGAGTTCTTAGTCAAGTGACATATGGGAAAACAAATACAAGCTGAAAATAGCAAACCAGAAAACGTGCAGCCAATGCTTTTTGTAGACAAGAACAACATAGAGGATTTCAGATGTTCTCAGCCTGACAGATGAGAACATGTATTGTCCTTTAATTCAGAAATTCCATTCCTCAGTGCAAAGAACTGCTATCTTTTTATTTATTTAAATGACCCATTTTATCAGATGACAGCAGTTCTGTAATGGTCCTGTGCTATGAAATACAAATGTAATACTTCTGCATGAAGTATAGAATATTTTTCTTTGTAAATTAAGCAACACCTTGAAAATTTAAAAAAAAAAAAAAAAAAAAGGTGTGGGGGAGGTGGAAATCCAGATTGTGCCTTTGCTGTTCTAGTTGCCACATGTAGTTTACATGCCACTATGTGCCTATATTGTTAGCAAAACTGTTGTGGATAAATTCTTAATGTATTTGAGTGCTCACCATCAAAATGGTGCAGATGTATTAAGTATCCTGTTAAGAACTGTGACTTTTTAATATAAAGTTCAATTAACCAGGTTTTAATTTTTAGTTCTTGAAAGTTTAAAACTTTCATATTTAAGAGATGCCAAATGAGTAAGTAACAAAGCACACCATTTCAATTTTGTGGAATGTCACATTAAGCTATGTAAAACTAGAACAGCAACATGACATACAAATACTCATTTCTGTTTTGATTTAGAATAGTTGCCTATCTTTTTGCAAACAGTATTCATGAGATGTTAACAAGTCTCTGAAATATGTCAGATACCTCATTTTGCCAAGTGTGAACACCTGAAATGCATGAACAGCACTGGCTGAGAATCAGGTATGTCACTACCAGCACTTGGGACTTTGTGTAGCTGTTATTTCCTTTTAGTCACTGCATAACCCTGGAAGATGAGTAAGGAAAGGGGACATTCATGTGTCATTACGTTGGAGCGACAGCTTTCATGTACATGGCTATCCCTCAGTTACTCCTGCATTGTACATGTAGCAGTATAGAGTGTGTGTGATAAGCTCTGCACAGCACATGTTTGAGCTGTTCAAGGTGGGGACAAAAAGTTTTTGAACAAATGTCCATATAATATAGATGCTATTTAGAAACTGTTGTACAGTCTAACCTAAAAATGTCTAGTAATGCTCCAAGAGTTGACATAGCAAGTAGTTTATCAAAGGCTATTGGTTTTGGGGGTTCTTGTTCAGGGTTTTGTGATTGCTTTTTGTTTTGTTGTTTGGTTTTTTTCCCTTGAGGCATTTGGGAGAGAGGGAGGAGTTTTACAGGACACGAGAATAAAATTTGGGTTCATGATGCTTTTATTGAGGAATTAACAGCCATCTTTCTCTTTTAGTTGACAATACAAATTCAAAATCCTTACTGAAGATGCATAAAAGATAACAAAAAGATGTTTGAAGCTGGTTTTTGTCTGATTTTATTATATGGTTTTTATCCAGTTGCTAAGAAAAAGGTTTTGCTGGACGAAAGAAAAAGAGAAAGTAGCTACAATTAAAAGCAATTCTTTAGGCACTGTGGAGAAATACCTTCGAAGTACTTGCTCAATTTCTTCTCGCTGCTGTCTGTCAGCAAGGCTAAGCAGCTGCAGGTACTCTAAGCTGCAATGGCAATAAATTGTTCTGAAGGCTTGGATTCATTCTCTTTCACTGCTACACCGTCAGTACTTGTGTTCCTGTCTTCTTTCACTAGTACTGAAGGCTGGTGGGTGATGCAGCTGACTTTATCACAGGTCCTCTGTGCTTTCTGCACCTGTTTTTCAAAAATGAGATGTTTTTTCATCAGTCTGGATGGAAGACAGATGTTTCAATATATGGAAGAGACAGATCGCACAGAGTGCAGCTGCTATCTTCACCAGCTAGGATCACTCAAAGTGCCCGAGAGCTGCCCTAAAAAGTTCTGCCTGTCTGTCTGTTATCACCATTTGCCTTCCCATACAGTACTGGAAAACAGCCAGCATAAAATCTTTTTCCTTTAGGTCAGTCTTTCAGACAGTGGCAGTCTGGTAGCAGGGTCTGTAATTTAGCTGGAGTCTCCCTCTGCAACATGGAGCTGTAATGGAGTCTTGCCTCTTAAGAACGCAGGAGAACTATAAAGGCCACATTTTTCTAAGCTACTGGTGCAGCATGGGCATGCACTGCAAGCCTGTCACTGAATCCCGACACCTGAAAATTCCTCAGCTTTTCTGTGTCCCACATAAATGGGGAAAATATTTTTCAGATTCTGAACCCATCTTAAAATGTTTGCGTGAAAGGCAAAGATAAGGATTAGGAAAAAAGTACTAAAAGCAGACAAAAGACAGCACGGAATACAAATTAGAGCAGGACTGAGGCATCAGTAAAAATTAAGGTTAAAAAAGGGTCTCTCAAAAAAAAAAAATCTCAAACACCTCAAGTATAGCAACCAGGAGGAATAGACTACGCAGAAGATCGCTTTTTTTAATTTTGAGTCAACTGTTTCTCCACAGCAAAGTCGCCAACTGTTGTGCAGGATAGCAACAACTGAATTTTTTTCAAGAACTTCTGTAATACTTTCTATGTAATTTGAATTTTAAGGAACTCCTCTAGTTAGTTACTGTCAGCACAGACTCATTTATAGTAGATGGGTCAGACCTCAGCAGTGCCTAGCTCCTCTCATGTGCACGCCACTCTTAAAAGGATGGTGGGCACAACTGTCTTTCAAGACAACCAAAACCGTGTGTATGGGAACTGAAGACATTGTCACCATATCCAGGGAGACCACTGCCTGCTCCAAAACTGGAGGACAGCACTACCCATGTGGTGGCATCCTGTATCACAAGCCCTCACTTTGACAAGAGGTCTTGTTCTCTGGAGCTGTTACTTGTACAGACTTTGAATAGCCAAGTGGAGAGAATATGAATTTGGGGAAGAAAAGTCCAGTTAGGCCTGTTGCAGCAGTTGCACATCTTGCACTGAATACAACATCCCTGTTATGGGGAACAGTAACAGCCAAACCCCAGCCTGGAAAGGCTGTGCTTACATGCATATTTATTATTTTTTTAAAAAAGGCTTTACCAAGCTGGGCATGACATCCTGTTGGAAAAATTTGCATGGGAGATGTGCAAGCATTTGAAATTTCCCTTGCTTTCCCAGATCTGTCAGCTCTACTGTCTTAATATTCAACAGTTCATATTTCTGTAAACAGTAGGATGAAGATCCCTAAACTGCAAGTGGGTGCCCTGCATTCACCCTTCCTGAAACAGAAGGGTTACCAGGAACTCCCAGTGGTTTCAGTGTGGGGAGACCAATTAAGTACAGCAAGACAAAATGACTTGCACTGTTTTCATTAGTGGTATGATGCAACACTTACATACGCTGAAAATTATGCAAGACTTCCTCATTACTCTGCGCCGCTAAGATGAGCCTGGCTCCATCTTCTCTACCCCCTTCCATTACACAGCTGAAGTAAAGATTGCCTACCCCCCGAACCTCCTGTTTTCCAGACTGAGCAAACAAACACTGCTCCCTATCCCCATGGCTCCTACACACTAACCTCCCGATCACCTTGGTGGCCTTTGCTGGACTTCTTCCCATATATGTCTTGTCTTCAGGAGCCCAGAACTGGGCACAGGACTCCAGCTGCAGTCTTGGAAGCGCTGAACAGAGCAGAGGGATTGCTTTCCTTGCCCCTGCTCAGCTGTGCTCTTCTTGAGCAACCCCCAGGATGGGGTTGGACACCTTCATCTTCACTTGTCCCTCAGGACTCCCAGACCAGCTTCTGCAAGGCTGCTTTGCAACCAGTCTCTGCCCAGGCTGCACAATGGCACCAGGCTAACTCAGTACCCACTGTAGGACTTCACGTTTGCCTTGTTTGAACTTGGTGAGGTTCCTGTCAGGCCCTTGATTCATGCTCACTGCCTTGTCGATTTCAGGAAATAGAAAATAAACATCCTGTTATTCACAGATTACTTTGAAACAATTTTATAATAGATGGAAACCCTGAAAAGAAACTGGTGATACATTACAGCGCAATGTCAAAATCTCATTGCATCAAAATTCGTTTTTCATTGTTCATTTCATTCATGGTTTTTGTTTTTCATCTTTTTATTGGGCTACATGAAGACAGCAGACATTTTTATGAGATCTTCCAACTCAAACTGAATTGCACAGACAGTGAAATCTTGCTGCAGCTTTAATGTCCCCATTGGTTAACATTTCCTTCCAGTCCTTTTCAGCTGTTGCTGGCTCATACAATTTTCTCTAGCTAACTAATGCTTCTGTGCTCTTTTAAACTCTACTGCAACTTGAACACAATCCACAGAAAAAGCACCACTTCCCTATCTTTTGTCACATATTTTAGTGCTTGAAAATACCTTCTTACTCACTTCATTTAACTCTAAAGGCTTTTTTCAAGTCCAAAACCAATCATTTAACCAAGGAGCAGTCTTTTAATGTACCATTTGCACCAACTCCTGTTCTGGCATGTACAAACTTCAATGCTTTTATCAACACCATTTCCCAGTACTAGCATTGGAGTCTGGAAAGAAAATCTGCTTCCAGTACAGTCTAGATAAAAAGGAGTCAAGACCTCAGTTACACATCAAAGTTGGCCAACATCACCTTTACTATTAAATGCTTGGCTTTGCTTAACACTAGGTACCACCTTCTCTGCCGGAGGCTGAAGACAGTAACGTCACAAAAGCTGTAACTCGTCTCCTCATACAGGAA